ATATGTTAACTTCTTTAGGAATCTGGAAATTCTTCAGGACCTACCCCTGGTGCTAAGTTTTCCCACATTTTACAAAAGGATGCCTTCCTTGTATTCAGGTCACTGTGTAAACTCTCCATGAAGCCCCTGTCAGATGGACCGCCAGATCCAAAGTAAGTAGAATTAAGACTTCTCATAATTAATCTTTTTTATTTGAAAATAAAAATAAATTGTTTAAATGTTTTTGAGAGTCCTCAGTTACTGAGAAATTAACAGTATGGTAAGAAGAACCTAGAAACTTTGAAAAGGTACTTTTATGTTTTAATGCATCTTTTGTATGTTAAATGAAAGCAACTGCTGCTACCCATCTACCTGTTAGAAGTTTCTTAACACCACCTATGCTTCATTGTAAGTACATCATGTTCTTCCTAGTTGCTTGTTATAATGCTTTTCAGAAGGGTTTCTAAAGAAGGTCTTCAGGTGTTTTTGGTCTCGGCTAGTCTTGCTCTGCTTTTAAGTAATAGTAAGTTCGTTACCATTGCTGTTGATGCCCCACAATTTCTTACATCTCTTGCATAGTGGTTATCCGATACATGTACCTGACTCCATTTCATCTCAATATAAGCCCCTCGCTTTGAGCTGGTACTGGTTGTAATAAACTAGTGATACAGTGTTTCACCTTTTGCTAAGGTTGGACACTTTTGACAGCCTCCCTAATCAAAACACAAATGTTTGAAAACAAAGTCTGTGTTTGACTGTTTTGGAAAACTTCTCCTCAGACTGAAGATACTGTGTTTTCAGTTTGGCTTGGAGAATTGTTCATTGTAAACAAACAAAAAAGTTCTCCTCTATACGTGCTTGCCAGTATTAGTTGTGAGTATTGGCAAAGAACTTTGCTTTTCTGATCTTGGATAGAGTTTGTATGCATCTTTTTTTGCACGTTAGGAACAATTGTTAGTAATTTTCAAGCAGAATGCTTTTTTTTATGTTCCTAAGATATTAAAACTGTAGTATGACTTCTGATGACAGTCAAAGGCCCAGTATTCTTCAAAATAAAACTAGCTTTACTGTTCTGAGGTCTATCTTTTAAAGCAGGTAACTTTAAGACAGTTTAATCACTGGTATGTGTCATGGATTTAATCTGAAAAAAAATACATAGTAGAAAGGGTTTTGAAGGGTTAGTCTAGAACCATTTTCAACTTGTTATCTAGTGATGTGCTATGGAAGGTCAGGACATTCAAGAATGAAGACAGGCATGAGGTTTTTCCTCACTATTTTTGAGAATTTGTCTTCCAGAAAATGCCATGCAATTGCTGCAGTTTTAGTCAATTAGTCACTCTCACTCTGAGACTAAGGCTGTCCATTTATCAAAGGCTTTAATGGATTAACTTCCTCTGGAAAAGCACCAATAGCTATTGAGGCACTTGGAGCATCTCATCTGAATCCATGGACATTCCTGTTAGAACTGATTAAGCTCTTCATATAGAACCTATCAGAGGAAATGGCATTTAAGGCAACAAGAATTAGCTGCAAAGGCATTCAAAGGCATCCTGTGTTTGGAGAAGTGCCCAGAATTTATCAGTGGTTCTGAGGCATTGATGGCTTTTTGAACTACTCCAAACATGCTGTAGTTGGAAGAGGAGGCGTAGGATGTCTGCAGCATTTTTTAGAAAGTCTTATCTGCTTCTTTAAGAAACTTCATTCCAGAGAAATTAGCTATGAAGTCTTTAATGAATATATTTTTGAATTTTAGGTAACTGGACATGGAGCTTTTAGTTTAAAATCACAAGACTGGGAGTTGGGATCAAGGTTATGCTTCCTGGGAACCTGCTTAAAGTCTTCATCTCCTTTTTCCCTGGAATAAAATAAGATGGGGGAAAAATGTCTTGAAGATTCACTTAATTAGATTTTAGTCCTGAGACTTGTTTTAAATTAAGTGAGCTTTACACGTAATACAGAATTGGTAAGGCCAGCAGGTTAGGACTTCAGCTATGAGCTGACACGTGCTGGAAGTAGACAACATTTAATATTTTATTTATGACTTGAAATTCTCTTGATATTTAAATTCTTACATTTCATAGCAAGGTCTAGTCTGTTCATGTGCTGTCTGCACACTTGATACAATGTGATGTAAAAATCAAGCATTTTGCATCAAAGGAGATTGTTATGTTAGGTTCCATGCAGTTGTGTAGTGTCCAGAGCCAGGCATTTTCTTGAAGAACTTCTACAAAGAGCTGTTTTGGGGGATTTACTTGGACCTGCAGCCTGTTAGGAGGAATGGGAGGAACAAGTTCAATTTGACTGGCCATGTTTTGCTTCTTAAAAGTGTCTTCAGACAAAAAGTCAAAGCTTGGGATTATATTCTATGAGTTTGAAGTGTTTGCAGATTAATTTCACCCCATCTCACTTTGTTTGCCAGCGTGCAGAAATAATTGAGTTTATTTGCAACATATTTGTTATTAATTTCGTTTTTGTTTTTAGCTAGACTGCAGTTACTTTTTTTTCTTTAAGCTCATATTTTTTTCAGTATACAGCAAATATCCAACTATTATGTGTGACACGTGTTGACTTGAAGTGCTCCTTACCGTGTCTGTACTGTATGAAAAATTTCCTGTCATTATTGCTTATGTTTCATAACTATCCTCTGTCGATGCGTAGTTGTTTAACAGAAGTTGTGGTCTGTCATGTCGGCAAAGCCATTTGTGCCTGCACCTGCTCTTCAGAAGAGCTATAGTCTTTTTTTGAGATGATCAGAAGTGGGAAGGAGCATCAGAATTCTGAGGGAGAAAGCTTTCATCCAGAATGCTATTTAAATTGGGTTATATTGTCATAGATGCAGATTTCCTTTACACTTTGTTTGATTTTGTGTGGTTTAGGGGTTTTGTTTTGTTTTGTTTTTTAAAAGCGTAACTAGTAGCACTGTTCTGACATGAGTTCTAGCTTACTTTGGTCAGTAAGAAGTGCGATGTTACGGTGGAGCACTTGACAACACTGCAGTTGCCTGACTTTGCTATTGACATGCTTAAAATAGGCACATTACATATCTTGGCTGCTTTTGGAGTGGGATTGGGCCAGTGACTGATAAACAATATAAAATACTGTATTTGAGAAAAGATATTTCAATGTTGGGTGGAAGTAGGTCAGGTCAGGCAGTACAGCTGTTGTCTTGATGGTCCTCCGACTCTCTTTCCATGCTGGTGGAAGTAGAGGAGGAGGAGGAATTTCCACCTTTTGGTAGTCAGGGTTCTGTAGATGGGCTGGGTATTTTAGTTGGGATCTTCCAAAATCCATTAAAAGGAAATAATGCTGCCTTCATCCTCTGCCTAAGATGGGCAGCATTGCCTACCGTTGTTGCTGTTCTGTGGTTCTGTGCTGCGGAGAGTGGCTGGATAGTAATGGAGAGAAACAGTAACTGGAAAAGGTTATTGCCCACCTTCTTGTCTGAAGAGTGACCACCTCAACAAAAAAGATCAGCATCTTTTTATCACTCTTTCTATACCAGGTTCTGTGTATTTGAGTGTATTCCATGAAGATTCCACACAGAAAATCATTGTGGTGTGCATTGACTTTTCAGTGATTTACGCTGAGCTGATATGCTGCATTGTTTTATTCTAGATCTCATGAACTGCGATCAAAGATTCTTTCATTGCAGTTGCTTCTGTCCATTCTGCAAAATGCAGGACCTGTCTTCAGGACAAATGAGATGTTTATTAACGCTATTAAGCAGTACCTTTGTGTTGCACTGTCAAAAAATGGAGTCTCGTCAGTTCCAGAAGTTTTTGAACTTTCGCTTTCCATATTTCTTACCCTCCTCTCAAACTTTAAGACTCATCTAAAGATGCAGATCGAGGTATGTTACATGAATTCCTAATTTAAGGGTCGGGGTGGTAAGTGAACATTTGTTTATATTTGTGCATAGTTTGGTCTTGCTTAGATAAATTTGTTTTCCTTTCTGAATGTCAGCTTTTGTGTAAGACTTGCCAGATCTTCCCATGCATAGAAGCTCTTTTTCACCCAGTGGCAATGGACTTGCAACAATGCCCTTGAAACCCTCTTTCAATAAAATAGCAGAGTTTCCATTGGAATGCTTACAGATTAAATAAGATTTGCTCTGTAACACCAGAAGTAATGTAACACCTGTGGTAGTGTTAAATTGTTTGGTGAAGTGGAAAGTGATGGGAAAACTTTTGTAGGGCTGTTTAAAAAAAATTTGATTATATTTTAACTAGAACATGAAATCAAGTACCTAACAAAGAAGTAGGCCGTATCATCACTTAATACTAGACGTTAACATAAACTAAGAAATTTTGCCGTGCAAAACATTCTTTGATTTACTCTGAGACAGAGATGAATTTTCTACAATCATCACTTATGCCCATACTCACTACTCTTACTACATGAGTTAGTTTCCTTTATTTAAAAGCAGAGTTCTCTGTTGTCTGTGGCATGGTATTATCACAGAATGATGCTGAAGCTCAGAAATTAGTAGGTTTGTGGATAAGCTTGGTCAACCATGTTCAATAATGCAATTAGGAAGTTTCAGCTCTGCATTACATAGTACAAATTAAGAAAATGAATGCACTCAGGAAAAAACTGTAATATATGGTTTTGCAAAGGAATTTTGGAATAAAAATTAATGGCTTGAAGTGCATTATGGAGTCTCTTTGAGGTCACTTGAACAGATTTCTTTCTCTAGGGAAATCCCAGCTATTTGATTATTGTAGCCACTTCCCTTTGTATATCAGAGCCTACATCAATAAGATAATATAATTTCCTCAGGTCTCAAAAGGTGTACGCACAACTTCACTCCTTGGGCCATAAGTAGGCATGAGTCCATATTCTCAGAAATAAGAGTTATCAGTCCTGACAGACATTGCGAATTTTCTCACTGGATGGATATATTCTAAGTCGTAGGGGAAAGGGAGACATATGCAGAGGCTTCGTTCTTGACTTCTAATTCTTGTGCCATAGGGTATGAGCAGCTTCTTGAGACAATTATGTCCAGTTGAACCGCACAGATACTCTCTTGTCCCATGTGTTAAAGATCTTAATTCCATGGTGAATAAAGTAGTAGTGTGCACAGTGTGTTCCTACTGTTCATTTTGGTAATTGTAGGTTTTGGGAGTCAGTGTGAATACTGAAGCCTGCAGATTGCCCCGTGAGTGTGGAGGTTAAATATGTGAAATACGCTGAGAAACATTGATGATGTTGCCATTATAAGGACCTTGAATTCAGGGATTTCTTCATCTATGGATGTAATTTTATAAGTTGGTATGTTGTGGCAGTTTTGGAGGAAGAACCTCATTTTGCCAGTGCTGTGTTGGAAGGGTGTCGAGTTCTGAGTGCTTACCAGGTTATTTTGATGCCTTTTTGGGGAAGAAACAATAGGATTTCCTTGAGCATAGCTTGGATAGAAATACAGGTTTGGTGATTGATTGAATGTGCCTTGAAAATATGATGCATTTTGAAGACTTTCAAGGCAAACCCCATGTGCTCGACAAGCCTGTAGCGCATGTGCAGCGTTCAGCACATCAGACTGGGCTGAGCTGCTCTTCAGTCGCACAGCATGCTTCCCAGAAAGTGTTGGACTTGCTATCTGTTCACAGAGCTTACAAGTCAGCGTGTAGGTGGTAAATGTGTTGGAATCCAGCTTCCCTGACAGAAATTGATCACTGCCATCCTTTCCCCAAATTTCAAACAGAAAATTAAGACATATCTGAGGAAGACTGGATATAGGATACCCTACACTACTATAGCAGCTTCTAGAATATGCTAAATGAGGACCACCACCGCACAGCAGGGCTGCATTTCCACCTCACAAATATGAAAGCCAAAAGCTTGATGCTGCCAAAGTATCTATCTATTACAAAGTACAGGGGACAGCAATTTCTAGAAACTTAGTCTTTTTCCTGGTTGAGAGCTAAGAATTCCTCTTCTTTCAGCTGCTGCTCCTAAAGGTTATTCAGAAGATGTGGGTAGACAAGTAGATAACTTCACATTCAGTTTGTGTCTTGGAGCTGTAAGGAGAGCCATATGCTTTGATTTATAATATGCAAAATCTATGTATTTTGGGATTGAGGCTGCATTCTTCATCTGTGTAGGAATTTTTTTGGCATAATAGTTTCAGATTCTGTTGAAAGCGACCCCTTTGGTCATTTGACTTAAATATTCAGCTAACACTACCCTCTGACAGTTAAAACAGTTTGAGTCGTACCTTAATTATATTGTAACTGTATTTCTAAATGGATCAATGAATATGTTTGCAGCAAATCAAATCATAGATATCAGGGGATTTGGGGTGTCATTTACCTATACTTGCCGTTACCACCCTTTCATAACTGTGAATAAGCTGTCTTAAAACTCTTACTTTTGGTTGACCAAATGAAATAATTTGTTCTTCTCTGGCTTTTCCAATGTGCTAGGAATAGTCTCAACTCTGTGACATGAATTACAATAAGTACCATAGAGATAGTTAGCATTTTTAGGTACCTGAAGTGTAAATAATCATTACGGTTTTGAGAAGCTGTTCAAGATCCGCTTGTCCAAAGTTGACACCAGAAGCAAGAAGTGAGCTTTGTCTCAGAAGCATGGAGATCTAAAGTGTCTTCATAGTTTGCAGACCTTCCAGCTAATTTCTACCGTAGACTTGGGTGTCATTTTTGTACTTGAAACTTTTTTTCTCTGCTCCATCAGTGACTTCTTTCTGTAAATTCTCTAACAGAAAAAAAAAATTCCTGGTTCCAGAGGGTATATAACACTACTGTCTTTCAGTAAAAAAATCAGAAAACAACAAATATGTAACTAAGGGTTGCTCATAGCATGACCTCTATTAAAATTTTATGTCTTCCTCTGTTTGGGTTACATAAAGCTATGGCTAAAATCAGTCTAGTACTCTCGAGTATATTTAAGTGCTTGAAGTCTTTAATCTGATATGTGTTGAACTCCTTATGTTTTGTAGGGATACTTTCCTTATTGAGACTAGTAACTGGGATTGTGCTGTGTGCCTCTCTTCCTCTAAAAAGGCCAATAAAATGGAAATATTGTTAGCTCATTTTGCTTGAGGAAATAGCTTGCCATCAATGCTGCTTAAAAAGCGATGTTGCTGGTTGTCCCCAAACATATGACTTAAAGTGAAGTTAGCCTTACGCTTATCTCTACCTGGCTAATAGCATAAAAATCTCTGTAAAAATTCTGTGGTATAAGGGAATATCTAATATTAAAATCAAGGGTAGTTATATATTTGGATATTTGTGTACTTCTGTCTGAGAAGAGGAGCTTAATGGCTTGACACTATTGGCAGCGTTCTAGGAAAAACATATGTTGGTGGGTTTGGTAGCCACAACTGGCTATGAAACGGTGAGCTCTCCGAAGTGCAGAATGGTGATGTAATGCTCTGTAGGATGATGATGTAATGCTATGTAGCAGTTCACATTTGAGTTCATATGCTGTTACAGCAGTTGCTGTTGATTGGGGAAGAAGTGAGAAAAAGCCTGCTCTAGCTGCTAAGCGCACTCAGCTGAAATAGTCATCCTATAGTACTAATGGATCTGGTGAGAAACTCATTGAGAGAGGATAAAATAGTTGGTTCCAAACAGAAGCGATTTCGGGGAAAACTAATATCTCTTTCAGGAAAGAGTAACTTTCCTGTTAGTGGATCTGCTGTATACTGTGCCTGACCAGTACCCTTCTTCCAATAATCTAATACCATAGAGTGATTCTTTTGTGTCAAGATGTTTCCCTTCTAATGAAGGTCTGATACTTTAAATTGGCCTAAGTGGCTGTTTGTTATGTTTGTGCCATAATATCATCATCTCGTAAAGAAAATAGTTTGTGGTGAGATAATACCTCTCCCTTCAAAATCCCAAATGAACTCTTAACAGCAGCATAGACTTCTTGTTAGGCTAAATTGTCCTTCAGGACTTCGTATCATTCCCGTTTCTTCTGTGGAATATAAATGAAATTTTTCAGCTGGATAAAAATTCTAGAAATACATAAGTAACAATTTGAATTCCTAATTTGAATAAATCAAGCATAAGTTGCATTTCTTCCTTTCCTCCTTTTTTTCTCTTATCTCTTGTATCTCTAACGTGCTGCTTTCAGAATATGTCAGAATATTGGCCATCAAAGTTAGTGACTGTGTTTGTAATCGATTATTTTTTTCCTCCCTCTTCCTGGAATATTTATTAGGTTTTCTTCAAAGAAATTTTTCTGTATATCTTGGAAACTTCTACTAGCTCGTTTGATCATAAATGGATGGTTATACAAACACTGACAAGGATATGTGCAGGTATTAAGGACCGTTTGGTTCTAGTTTTTACATTTTTATGCTAAAGAACAAAACTGTACTTGTCTTTCATTGAATGATCTAGTTTTTGTTCCAGGTTTGACAAAGTCGCCTTGTTTTTTATAGATGCCCAGAGCGTAGTGGACATCTACGTGAACTATGATTGTGATTTAAATGCAGCAAATATATTTGAAAGGCTGGTTAATGACCTGTCAAAGATTGCTCAAGGAAGGGGTAGCCAAGAACTTGGCATGTCCAATGTTCAGGTAAAAATTCCACCAAACTTTACGAAGCTTCATGTTTCTTGGCATGATAGGTTAAGAGTAAACTCTCCACTGATGTATTGCCTTTGAAATATTTTCTAGGAATTAAGTTTGAGAAAAAAAGGATTGGAATGCTTGGTATCGATCTTGAAGTGCATGGTGGAGTGGAGTAAGGATCAGTATGTGAATCCCAATTCTCAGACAACACTTGGTAAGACAGAGATGTGTTTCTTCTGGATTTAGCAAAGAGGTGCTGTAGGAGTGTAGTGCATTTTTCCAGTATTTTGGTGCTGTTAGTGTCCAGATTTCTAAAACATCTTGCATCAAAAAGACAGAATGAACTTTTTTTTTTCCTTTGGTAGAAATATTGTTAAGTTTGGATTGGTGTTATTTGAACAAGTTGTCTGTCTTTTCTTAATTATATGAATTCCTGAAAAGCTACTACGCTGAAAATTATACTAAATCCTATTATTTTCTGTATTTCTAATTTTAAAAGGATCACAAAACTTACCTTGAAGCTCCTCTCATTTCATCTAACTTCATGTTGATTAGATTACTACTGAAGCAAACTGGATGGGAGAGCATTTTTTGTTTATTAATATATAGCTATAGAACTTCCAATGTTGTAAGCAATGAAGTAACTAAATCATTACTTGTTTTAATCTTGTTTCCATCTGACCTCAGATGAAAAGTACTAAGGTTATGCTGGAATTTTCAGATCAGATGCTTAAAGTTGGTAGGTGCAGTATTAACCTTTTTAGAGGTGGTTAGCATGGCTGTCTTTGTGAACTGAGAGCACCAGCTCCTTGGCATGTCTGATCGTAAACCCCTTAGACACTCTGTTTCAAAAACTTAGAATAGTGTGATTCATTGCAGGTCAAAAGTGACATCAGACTTGAAAATAAAAGGAATGATCTGTAACTGGGTTTCTAAGGTGTTGTATGTTTTTTTCCGAGTCCCTACAAATTATACTTGTAATTTAAGGCTTAAATTTCAGGTATGCGATGGACCGAAAGAATCCTCCTTCTTACGTTGTAGTGATTTGTTGTTGTTGTTTTCCCAACCAAAATAAAACCAGAATATTTATATAAAAATAGATCATTGAAGATAACCCTAGTAAGTTTTAGAAGCCTTCAGAGAGGTTTTGAATAATAACCTGTGATTTTAGTTTCTTTTCATTGTATGTATTTTGTATGTGTGTAACCCTTTCCAATTTATAGGCCAAGAAAAACCCGCAGAACAGGACAGCAATGAAACCAAGCACCCTGAGACGATTAACAGATATGGAAGCTTAAATTCCTTGGATTCTACTGCTTCATCAGGAATTGGCAGTTACAGCACACAGATGTCTGGCACTGACAACCCAGAGCAGTTTGAGGTCCTAAAGCAACAAAAGGAAATAATAGAACAAGGAATTGACTTGTGAGTGCCCTTTTATCACCCATGGGAGGGTGGATTCTTTTGGAGCTATGAAGATTCCTGGGTTTTTCTTCCTTCTCCTCATAGATACTCATCTTGTGTTAGGAAAAAAACTCTGGATGTAACAGCACTTCCTCTGGTGAAAGAGTGCTGAATGGTGTCCCCTTTGGAGCCTGTCAACAGTGTTTTGTGTTAACCTAATTCCTCACAGCTAGAAGATGAGTACTCTTGAATGTTTGTTCTTTTTTCTCCAGACCTGCTTGTCTAAAAATAAAATTTTTATATTTGGATAAAAAGAACATTGAACTGATGTGATCAGTTGAATACGACCCGTTTTAGTGTACACATTACTGATGAAAGTGCCTTAAGCTGATGCTTCGTTCTGATTAATTAACTTGTCATAATTAGACCTGGAGGACAGTATAATTTCTGAGTGCAGTCTGACATGAATCTGCTGTGTGATTTCAGCCTTATCGTCTTACCTCCTCAGCTAGATCATTTCATGCAAAAAATAAAAGTTTTCTGTAGTGTAGCTCTCAGACCCTGAACAAACATGCCTTAGTCCTTTTGGGTTTCAGTTTCTTTCAGCTACCTTCTTCTTTATCTTGTACATTTCCATTCTTAGAGGTAACTCATGGATTTCTTGATTGTTTCATACAGATTGGGGGGGGGGGGGGGGGGAAGGCGACAGAGCATAATTGTTCCTTTCTGAGACAAGAGTTTGCTATTTCTGTGGAATATTTTTTTTCCTTACGAGTGCCAGATGAAATGATAGTGTTTTGCTCTCTTTACTGAAAGCTGCTTGAATGCTATGAGCAAAGAGAAAGAAGAGGCTGTTTACAGGGGAAAAAGCCCATAAAATCATCCAATGATTGAAGGAAATCTTAGAAGCAAAGAGCTCATTCCTATCTAATGCACAGTTTGATCAAAGAAAAATATTTAATACATAGATTTTCAGTACCTCATCTGAAATTACTGAATCTTTTTACTTAAGCTGGTAAGGCTTGCTGCATGGATAAAAGGGTTAACTCTCCATCCTGATCTTGATTGTACAGATTCAATAAGAAACCAAAGAGGGGGATTCAGTACCTGCAAGAACAAGGAATGCTTGGCACTACCCCTGAAGATATTGCTCAGTTCTTGCATCAAGAGGAAAGATTAGATTCGGTAAGAAAACTCTTTTCCTGATGATTGTTTTTGCTCGTGCTGATGATTTCATGCTATTTGCAAATCATGTGATAGTGTTTTAAAGTGTATAACGTTATTGTACAATGAAGAAAAGGAGGCTTCTCTTCTAGAATTTGTAAGCTCAGTGAATTTATATTGGAGTATGCATCGGAGCTATACCATGTACTATATGCACCTTGCAGTTCAGCGAACTGTAAAGGAAAAGACTGACCTACTTGAGCTGACTGAAAACTTGAACTTAGTTGCTAGTATAGCTAGAATCAACGTACTAAACTGTAGGTACTTTAGTCCTACGAGGGACTGCCAGAAGTAACTGTCCTTCAGGGATGGCTAACGAATAACATGGTGCAACAACATGAAAAGCATTTTTTTGCTGCCTCCCAAAGGATCTATTTGATCTAGATTCGTTCTTTGATTTTGTTTAAGGCTAGTTCTTTGATTTTATTTACAGCTTGCAACTGTTGCTGGACTTGGAAGGGCCTGGAATATCTATCTGAGGAGGGTGGGAATATCTCGTGTTAGCAATGTCATGAGAAACTTAGCTTTCTGAGACAGCAGTCTGCACCATTGTACTTCATAGCCACCCCCATTGTTTTCTGAGGAAAGGTTTGCATGTGCCCATGCTTGCAGCTATCACTGAAGTCACAAATTTCAGTATTAGAACTTAGAATCAGCCATTAAAACAAATTTTTAACCTCAGTTTACATATACAGACATCTTTATCTGAACGTGTGGTATTTTTCACTGTACAGTGCTGTGTTGACAGCGATCAACTTGGATGTATTTGAGTACCAGCTATTTATATTTGAGCATCACTTGCATCTATTTGAGATATGTGCTCTATTGGGAATAATGTCGAGTTTAGTAAGCTTTTCATTCCTGTAGTGAGTTTCCTAACTACAAAAATCATTACAGCAGAGAACAATCAATCATTGCTAATATTAACTTTGTCTTGTGCACATGTGGAATTCATCTAATAGAAAAAAAAATGTCTATGAGTAAAAACAGAGGAGGAAAGTAGACAGATATATATGAACATGTAAGAGCATTATGATGGAATATATGGCCAGAATACTTTGCTTTAGAGAGTAGAGGAGAAGCAGGCATATGTCTTAGTTAACTGCATTCAGGCCTCTCTCTGTGAGACATTATGAGCAGAATGGCTCTGTTGTTCTTACTTACTTTATTTTATTCCAGTGCAAATGCAGTAGTTTGTCTTTTCTATTCTTATTTTAGACTCAGGTTGGGGAGTTCCTTGGAGACAATGATAAATTTAACAAAGAAGTCATGTATGCATATGTAGACCAACACGACTTTTCAGGAAAGGATTTTGTTTCAGCTCTGCGCATGTTTCTAGAGGGATTTCGTCTTCCAGGGGAGGCTCAAAAAATTGATCGCCTAATGGAGAAATTTGCTGCTAGATATTTAGAATGTAACCAAGGGTAAGCCATACTTTGTCTTCAGAACTTTGGAAAGCTGAATAATAAGTACAAAATCCTGGTATGTTAAACTTGCTGTTCTTTTTCTCCTTTCCCCTTTCAGGCAGACTCTTTTTGCTAGTGCAGATACTGCATATGTTTTAGCTTACTCAATTATCATGTTGACAACAGATCTTCACAGTCCACAGGTATGTTGCTAGAAAAATATTTGTGTAATCCATGGCTAACTTCCAGGCTTTGTGACAATGTAGTTGTAAAAGCTTGATGTTCAGTTTAACACCGTATGTGTGTAAGAAATATGATATCTTTAGTTTGTGTGTCTTCTAAGCAACAGTATTATCTTTTATGGATGTTGAGATTTTTAGGTTGTTTTGATTAGACCTTTCTAGGTATCATTTCCCTACTCTGTGTTGAATAGGAATAGTGCGGATTTGCTTTCATATTATGGCGCTCACAGTAGTGACCTAACCTAAAGTCAAAGCCAGAACTTGTGTAATTGCTTACCCATTGATTTTAACACAAATGGGCTCCTGATTTCGGTCAGTTTGAAAAAATAATGCAGCTTAGTTTTGTACAGCTTACTTCTGCACTGTATAATATTCAAAGTAGCAGTGAGTAACCATCATCATTTATTTAAGCAAATTCTGGAATGAGTATTGAACTCTTATGAGATTATGGGATTATGTTTAAAATAGATCGCTTGGTCTGTATGACAAGATATAACACTTTTTTTTCCTTAGTGCATATCTAATTGATCTGCGGATACTTCTGAATATTTACAAGTGTTGTAATGTCCAACGTTACTGGATGTTATTTTGTAGATTTGACAGTGTAGTCTTGCCTATGTTGGATACTTAGAAATGTCTTCTGAATCAGCAGCTTTGTCCTTGATGGTAACTTTTCATCTGTTTGGCTGCTTTATAGGCGGCATTGTAACTGCTATGAACTTGCCTCATTTGTTGATACTAATAGCTTCTTTCTGGGTTTCAGGTTAAGAATAAAATGACAAAAGAACAGTATATTAAAATGAATAGAGGTATCAATGACAGTAAAGATCTCCCTGAAGAATATTTGTCTGCTATCTATAATGAAATAGCTGGAAAGAAGATTTCAATGAAAGAAACAAAAGAATTAACAATACCGACAAAATCCAGTAAACAAAGTAAGTAGTTGCAATGTTAGCTTTCTTCAAAGTGAAGAAAGTTTCGGTTTCATGAAGCTATCTCCTTCTTAAAATGAGAGATGAATAAAGCAAGCACCACTTACTTAACTCAAAATGAGTCCTGACTTCTAATTTCATATCCTTTTCCAGAAGGAAAAATGCATGATGCTACCTTCAAAACTGTGTTAAATGCAACTGCTTGTTTTCACTTCCCTTCGCATCTGAATTCCTGCTATTCAGTGCATTGACCATGGAGAAAACAGGTTTTGCTGTTGAACAGCAACATAGGGAAATGCGTTTGAGGGCTTTATGAAGTAACAGTGTTGCTGATAGGCATAGTGCAGAACAACCACGGTAGTTGTGCCTTCTATTTCTAAGGTAACAGTTGTGTTTTCCTACAATAACCAGTCTGTCATCTTCGAAAATTTCTTATCATTTGGTTTGTAGGGCCCTAATTTATGCACTTTAAAAATTCATTATCTTTTCCGCTCTCAAATACCAGAAGAACTCTTTTGTGTTTTGCACAGTGTGAAGATTCAGATGTTATTTGTTCTAGCTTTTCTACAGAGAACCTTAAGAGAGACTTTTCTATTTTCATAACGTAGTCGGATTTGTATACTTTTAAGCCCTAGGTTAGCCTTATGAACAGATTGCTTACAGGAAATTTGCGTCTGGAAAAAAGAATCCCTCTTATTGTCAGTATTCATTCAATTCAACATAATGTTTTTATTTTAATTTTAAAGAAGCTGATTATTACATTCTACTTGGGTTTCACTTTCTTGATGAGATGGAGGTTCCATTACTGAAATGAAAAGGTGATTAAGGTAGTTCTCCCTCAGAAAAAGGATGTCCATTTATTTTTACTGTTATTTTCTGTGCTGATGGATTGCTGTGAAACTTCTGTTCACTTAGAATTTAGCTTAGTGTGTGTAATATTTATGCTGTCAGTTGAGGCGATGGAGAAAAAATGTTTGTTGTGCAAATCTTAAAATTCCATAAACGTTTATTGTTAGGTTGTATTTCATACATAAGTGTGCCTTAAGTTAAATTTTATTTATATTGTAAAAGAAATACCTTGCTGGTGTGGTAATTTCAAAAAGTAAAGAAAGATAATACAAGAAATGCATCTGAGTATGGCGCTTAATGAAAAATTTAAACTTGCTATGTTCCTGAAGACACCACTGCTAAAGATGTACAAATGAGAGGAAAACATGTGTTTACAGGTGTTGCTAGTGAAAAGCAGAGAAGACTCCTGTATAATTTGGAAATGGAACAAATGGCTAAAACAGCTAAAGCTCTTATGGAGGCAGTGAGCCACGTTCAGGCACCTTTTACTAGTGCAACACACCTGGAGCATGTGAGACCCATGTTTAAGGTGAGATACATGTTTAGATATTTACCTAGAACATCACATGGTTTCTTAGTACAAAATACTGACTGACAGGGTTTGTTGAAAATACTAAAGATTTGTGTCTGCTATGTTTTGTAAGTTATTTAACTTGCTACAGGAAAGAGGTACTATACGGATCTCTAGATAGTTGTTAAAGTATTTCAGTTTTGTGATTTTTAAAATTAGTTTTGGTTTCAATAGGAAAGAAAAATTAGAAAAGGGCTGTCAGAGGGAGAAACATGGGGGAAATGAAATCCTGCATCTAGGAATTCATCTGGTGCCTTTACTACTGTCCGAGAGGTTTAGTGTGTGCAAGTGTTAAATGCTTTTCTGAGGTAGTGCTTTTGGAATTGCTTGCTTAAATGAAATCAAAGCTCTTTGGTGCATCATTTTATTATGAAATTAAGTGTGAAATCTGTTGCTCCCTGCTGTGCCTGTTGACTCTGTGTTTCATCTGGGGTGACTTCAGGTAAAATTATTTCTAAAATTGCTCTGAGTACCCTAGGGTTTCCTCTCCATAACCACATGTAGTTACAGCAGGATCCTCTGCATCTTCTGATTGGTTTTTCTGCCTGTGGGAGAGGGAGCCTTGACCCCAAGGACAGGCCATGTGGACTCTCCTGCAATAACTTGTAGTTGAGTGTATTGCACTCTCATTCCCACTTAAGGCAAGAGGAATGGGAAACATCAACAGTGGCTTAAGTACAAAAAGATGGAGGGCTGAGGGAAACAAAATTAAGAGCTGAGCGATCAAGGAAGAGTGGTGTCCTGTCTTTTGTTGTTCTCTTACTGTAATTTTAGTGGAATTAATAAGGTTTGCTGCCCTATTTTACCCTAGCCTTTTTTTTTCCCCCTTCTGGTGTTACCAGGACAAACTTGCCTTGTTTAAGTACATGCTTTTCATCATAAAGGAGTCTATTATACACTGTGTTGGTCTTGCAGTAATTATTGACTCTGTCTTTATTTCTCAGTGTGCAAAGATAAAGATTATCCTGGGAATACCAAAACTCCAGTAGACATCTAACTGATATAGCTTTGGGGGTTGTTTTTTCGAGCTATCTGAAGGTGGTTGTGTGTGTAGGTTGCTGAGGGAGAGTGTTTCTGAGGAGAGTGACAGTCTGCGTTACTTCTATTCTGTGCCTCATGTCTATTGTATTCTGTTTCCTTTTTGGCAAAAGGCAACTTCAAGGTTAATAATGTGAGTTAAGGGCAGAATTTACACTTTAGCAAGATGTTGAAACTGTAACATTCTCTTCTAGTATAATAGTTGCTAATGTAACTTTTATTTTTCATACCTTCCAGTTGGCATGGACACCTTTTCTAGCTGCATTCAGTGTGGGTCTACAGGACTGTGATGACACAGAAGTTGCCTCCCTTTGTTTGGAGGGTATACGATGTGCAATCAGGATTGCTTGCATTTTCAACATTCAGGTAAAAAAGTTAAGATTGAGACAATACTTTATGTACTGGCAAAATGTTAGCGGGTTCTAAGAGTGCTTGTTGCTGAAGCTATGTACTGCAGTACCCAGAGGCTACCTGCTTCTGCAGTTACTACTTCATCTGATATTTTACTGGAAGTGTTTTAAATAAAGTGACCTTTATTTTTCCTGGTATTTTGTGGTAAGTGCTGCCATGCCTATGTACTGAATTTTTGTTTCCCTGCAAGTTGCCTACTTTTATGTCAAAGTACTTTCTTTCTAGCTTTATTCCAAAGCTGTTTAGCTTTGTTTTGATGTTTCATAAAATGAGTCTTTCTATCCTGTTTCATAAGTAAAATAGTATCTGTGAACTGTGTTTGAAATACTGTTCTCAACTTCGGAGAGATTATATTAATCTGAGACTTCTATAATTGATAACCATTTTAACAGTTATCGCACTGGAAATGTCATTCCTGATGTAATGCGTGAATGTATCTTGCATTAAGCACAATGCCAAGAATTCCAGACTCTCTGGCTTCAGAGGGTAATTGTGATTAAACTCAGGTGCTGCTTTTTTGGTTTTTGGTTGGTTTTTTGTTTGGTTGGTTTTTTGCATTTTAAAATCATTGGTGAGGGACATACTGTTATGTTATTGTAGACAGTTAATAAATGGAGTGCTGGTCTACATTCACTAATGTGGAAAGGCACATTGGGACCTCTGATACAGCTGCTTAAAAAAAGAAAGTTTGAGATCATATAAGTTTTCCTTCTTCTGTCTTTCCACTTCATTTTATCCATGCTCCACCCCCCCCCCCCCCCCCCCCCCAAACGGAACAGACTTAAAAATTTGATTAACAAAGCCTTCCCTGGAGCCTGCAGCTGTTCAGTGGAATTCATATTCCTGTACTTTTGTTTCGAAGCTGCAAAGGTGAAACTGGTACAAATACCCATTTTGGCAGCCCTGGAGGTTAGCTCCTAGTCCTGCAGTGGTCTGCCTTGAATGGAGAGTGCAAGGACATGTTCCCTCTAAGATTCCCATGCCCCAAGAGTGGACCAGAATCAGTCGTACCCTTCTGTTGGCTTGGGACAAACTTGATTGAACTGGAGGTGTTTCAAAAACACCTCATTTGCTGAAATTTAAAAACTTGGGGTTTAATTTCAATATAAGTGATGTTCCTTCGTGGTTTCCAATGGGAATTCTGTTTTGTTGATATTGTTAAAAATGATAGTGGTTTGTTGATGTTTTCAGTACGTTACAGGATGATTCCATTGCATAAGATCCTGATTAAATGGCAATATTGTCTGACTTCAGACACCAGATAGCTGTGGTGGTTTGAAGGAGCCTGGCAAAGCTATACTCAAGCTGACTGGAAGCAAGTTTATCCACTTCTGCTTAACTGATGCTGGCAACTTTTCTGTTTCATTGAATAAACATATGGAAGTTAAGACTAGTGTCTGAGAACAGTTAACGTTAGTTTACACACCTTGAGAGATAATAGAGGGAGCTGGACGCTTTTAGTTCTAAGAAAATTCCCAAAGTACATAATATAGTTTAAGCTATGCATGTTCACCTCTAAAACCTCAATTAAAGATTCTGGTTTACTTATTTATGCTTAATCTTGGACTGTCACACCGTCACACCGGCTTTTGTCTTTAAGCATCTGGGACAAGACATGCATCAAAAAGATGTCCTTGATTTGTCCTTACATCATCTGTTTTTACTTTCTGGTTGATGGACACACCATTCAGTTGTTTTTCTCCTATTTTGATGGCTTAGAAAAAGGGGCAGAGAGGGAATATGGAACAGAGAGGGAAGGTAGGACTGAAAACATTTGCCTTTTACAGAAGGTACACCATTTGTAGACTCTAAAGCTTCTTTGCTTAGTACTCTTTCCATTAAACTTCCATTTTTCTGTGCTTATATGTCATTTGCTTTGCCTTTGCCAGCGTACCCTGTGGCATCCATGCTACGTGGCTCTGTGAGAACCAGTCCCTTGTATCATTGCCCGCTGTTGTGGTGTTCATCTTTTCTCTATGAAACAAACATTCTTCCTGGGACTCTTTTGGAAATACTTTATATTTCGTTTTATTTTGTGCTTAGTGTTGTGGTTTTGTTTTTTTTTTTTTTTTTGAAGTAGTTGTAAACATCCAAACAAATATATTACATAGTTGTCATTTGTTCCTCTGACATACAACCATTTCGCTTTGTGGCCTTCAGATCATACATAACCAGAGGGTAAAATGCACTTGAGCTCAACTTAACCCGCTTTTTAACACTGTAATCAGTTCATATGAGATCTGAGAAGTTTCCTTTGGTGCTTATAGATATACCCTGTACATAAAAATTTGGTACATATATATATGGAACATTCTTTTTTGTGAGACTTGATTTCATCTGCCTAGATTATAGGTCACTTGCAGTTTACCCACCCATGACAGTCTCACCTCACAAGCTTCTGAGGTGCTCCAAACGGTGTAGATTAAGTCAAATACATTTTGAGCAGTTTTGTGGAATAGGCAAAACTTACCTTTAGATACATTGTTTAGATTCTGTTGCCAAAAAAAATCCTACAGCTTGAGAGAGTCTGCTAAAGCAGCATTCTCAGAGTAGGTCCAAGTATAATATAAGAATGTCAAAAGCGTAGTGAAGAAGCTATGTTTCTTCTGAAACAGCATCCTTTTTCCCAAAAAAAGCCACGCAAAAATCCCAAAAGACCAAGCCCACAAAGCTAACAGTAACCTATGTGTTCTATGCTGTCAGACATTACACCTCATGTTCCTGAATAGAGAGAGCCAAATTTTATCCTACAGCTTTACTACAGAAGAGCATGGGATGTTTTCACTATGTAGAATGCTTTGGAAATTCAGTTCTAGGAAGAGAAATGTAAACAATATAGTTGCCGAAATCTCACAGATTGTACTAAGAACAAGAAACAGAAAATACTTACAAGACAATTTTTTTTCCCTCCTATTTGTAGCTTGAAAGAGATGCCTATGTCCAAGCATTAGCAAGATTTACTTTACTTACAGTGAGTTCTGGTATTACTGAAATGAAGCAGAAGAATATCGACACAATTAAAACTCTCATCACAGTGGCTCATACAGATGGAAACTATTTGGGAAATTCCTGGCATGAGGTACAAGAGTAATTTGTACTTGAACTGTAAGAAAGCGCGTGTACTGATTTTGAACACGGTAGTGTACTTGTTTGTGCAGAAATACAGTGGGTTTTAGATAAGTGCCAAGTATATATTTCTGTACATAAATAATGTAGAATTGCACATTATGCAACCAATTAAAGTAGCAAAACATGTCCAAGTGAAAAACAAAATTGAGAGACTAATCCAGTAGTATTTAAATTAATATTCATTTTAGAACAGAAGTACTTGTCCGACCTTGAGTATTTAGAATTTTTTCTTCTAACAATCTGCCTAAAGATTTTTTTTTTTTTTTTTTTTTACTATTTCAAAATGCATATTGTTGATAGACAACTTCTTTATTTTCTGGAATAGATTCTGAAATGCATCAGTCAACTTGAACTGGCACAGTTAATAGGAACTGGAGTAAAACCTCGCTACATCTCAGGGACAGTGCGTGGCAGGGAAGGTTCTTTTACTGGAACAAAAGATCAGGCGCCTGATGAATTTGTGGGGCTGGGACTGGGTGAGTAAAGCAGATACGAAGTATTTCATTTAACTGTCTGTGTTCAGACAGGTATTAAAGTTTGTGCTTTGTTTTCATTATTCTTGAGTATGAGGTTTGGAGATGAGACCATGAAGTAGTCCTTGTAAAACTGAATAGACCTATTCTTATTTCTGGAATATTTGTTTTACTCCTAAGTATTATTGCTAGGATAGGAGAGTGGGAAATGTAAGAAAATGATGCATTATTACTTTCTATTAAAATATAGCTGACCAAGTAAGAAAGGATTGCTGATGGTATGACCGGATTTAATTTTGCAACATTAGTGCACCAGGTATTTTACCAAACACACAAGTTTAGTATGCGTAGGTTAAGCATCCTGTTATGAAACTTTGCAAGAAATACGCAGTATTCAAACCAAGTGGGAGATTAGTTTAGCTTAAATTCTGAAATTCTGTTTCCTCCTTTTTTGGTTACTTTGGTACTGATTAAGTGTATTTTCTTAGGTTGGCCTGAGAACCAAAATTTACTCCATAAATGAGGTGTTATTTCCTGTCCTCCGAGAAAAGTATACCTGTCTTACCTTAAATTACCTTAAAAAAGTGGAATTTTTTTAAAAATGGAAATACAGTTGCATACATACAAGTGTAGGGTATTAGGAAATTATTGAAGCATCAAGGACTGTTAGAAAGTTTCGATTTTCTTACAACGCTCAGCGTCTCCTGCCTTCTGAACAATTCCATCCATAGCCAAGCAAAAGCTTTGTGTTCCCTCAATTTTTCATGTAACTTATTTTTTTAAGGGGTAATGATTATTTTACTAATTTCCTTGATCTTGGCCTACAACTAGTCCTAATTGTCTGGCTTTGTCTCCTTAGACAGTTTTTCTTATTCTGCAGGCAGACCTTTTCTTTCCATTGCACTCGCTTTTGGCCTGCCTCTCTGTACTCCTCTCACCTTGCCAAGAGTTGCCGAAGGGAGACCTTATGCCTGGAAATTAATGCATCTGCCAACATCTTATATACTGAGCTTCTTCCTGCCCTTCTAATACATGTCCTCCTGTTTAGCATTCCCTGATGGCCTATCCAACTTACTGTTTCCAAATGCTGGTGTTTTGTCTACACTGAAGTGACTGAACTTGAAAAATTTTGAGGCCTTGTAGCTCCAGAACGTAAACCGTAGTCAGGTGTCTCTAAATTATACTTGCTAGTCGCTGGTGTAGATCTAGCTCATAAAGACTTCTTTCCCCTCTGTCAACTACATTTCTAAGGAAAATAGTCTATGCCCAAATGCATAAAATATTTCTCTCTGAATTTAATTTCTGGAATGCCTGTTACAGTGCACATATGGAGGCTTAACCATTTTCTTTCTAAAAAAAAATTTTTTAATACTATCACATCAATCATATGAAAATGCCAAACTCAAAGGAATTTGGTTTTCATGCACCTAGAGGCTGTTAGAGCACAGTCCTTTTCTCAACTGTTGTAGTTTTTTCACCCTTCTCCACAAGTCTCGTGTAGTAGATACATTTCTTTCTGTGATCACTCTGAAGTATCCTTTGGAACTATGGCTTTTGAGCAACATTCCTATAAACCTAAATTCCTCTGAAGTACCCATAATGCCTATGTCCATATATACAGACACATATTTTACAGGAAAATAGTTGTTTAATTAGAGTAGTTGCAGTCTTTAATTAGTGACTTTAATTAGTGACTGACTTTAATTAGTGAAGTTGCAGTCTGGTGACACAGAAGCTTTGTCTTTCAAACCTGCTTGCAAAATCAGACATGCATAAGCAGCAGCATTCAGTCTTCTTGCTGAAGTTAAAGTGTGTATTTAAAAAAAATAAAAAACAAAACAAAAAAAAATTAAAAAAAAACCCCAAACACCACAACAAAAACCAACAACCTAAACCCCCTTTGCTCATTTACTGCCTGAACGAGAATTCAGGTTTGCACTCTTCAGGCATCTACATTTGAATGTCTTCATCACACTTGCATTGTCTTCCTGCTGTGGCCCGTTTTTTGTTCGACTTGAAAATTCAAGTCATCACAAGCATGTGGGTTGTAAAAGTAAACGAGTAAGCATGTATTCCTTTGCTGCTTTGGTAGGAATGTTGTCTTACTTGGAGTTGTAACTGTGAAGTTCAGCTTTCTTCTACTCTAGTTTCTACTCGCAGTGTTGGAAGACAAAACTTGCTGCTGTGAGTAGGTCGTAGCCAAAGTGTACTTCCTAGGTGACCAGAAATCCTCTTTGGACAATGGGAATCTGAGGAATCCTTTTTTCATAAAGCAGAATTACATAGGTGACTATGTTTCATCATAAAAGATCTCGTAACTGTTGGAATATAAATCTGCTCTCTGTTTAGGTTTTCCAGGATGGATTATAATCGTACGATAATAAGGAATTCTCATATAAACTTGCAGAGCTGGTTAGGGTACCTGATTTCTGGGAAATAGCCCTTAAAATTCACTTCACACGGCTGCTTGTTTGATATGTTTCTTAGCTGATGTACCAAGATTCAAGCTAATTGATACTGGCAGCTTGTGGGCATGCAAGAGAAGTCATGATCAGACCCAGCAGTATTGTAATTGCTGAAATACTCATGTGAGGTTATGTATGTATGCCTGTATGTACAGAAAGGTTACTCCATAAATGCCCTAGGAAAATACCTCAGATGGGTCAGTTTATGTAGATTATACAGCCAGCTGTTTCCAGCCACCTTGCAGTGTGGAGCACAGCAAGACTCAGAGGCAGACTTTTTGGAGGCAGTCTGAAACAGAGCACTTTCCATCTTTACAAAGCTCTGAGAACAGAACTGCTGGACTTCTTTCAGTTTTGTTCTCCACTATCTTTCTGATAGGCTGTCTAGGGAAAAAACCTAACTACAGGGTATGTGGAATTACCCAGAATGGTCGTAAGATATCTGCTCTTTTTTTGATAGGGTGTGGAGAGTGGCTTAGATAGATTGCCAGAAATTTCAGAAATATGATCAGAAATATGTGAAGTTAGAATTTTCTTAACATCAGCTTTCCCAGATGTGGGATACAGTTTCTAGCCTCCAAAATAATTATTGCTATTTTTATTTACAGATTTTTCTCACTGTTGTTAAGTGATAATTTTGTTGCGCTTGAGATGTAGCTTTAAGATGGAGTTTGGAGGGAGCTCTCCTCTGTGAATGATTAAAAAGAAAACCTATCAGGATGGATTTACTAGCTACTAATCAACTGTGAAAAGTTCTCCTCTGTGCAGTATCCTCTATCATATGTTGTGTGTTTTCACCAGAATTACCAAAGATCTGTTGAAAGATGGAGAGAAAAAACTGTGGACAGTTTTCTGGACTAACATAGTTTACACGTCGTTAGAGAATCTATAGAATTAGGACTTAGGCCAACATGCAGCTGTTCAGTGATACCCAACTCAGGCAAGGGAAATTAATAATGTTCTTCCTTTTTTTGTGAATTAAAAATATATTTAATTATACTGGTAGTGGCAAAACTTTTCTTTCTTCCCAGCCCTTTCTGTGTTCTCTCTGACGCATTTTTCAATTTTGTTTTCTGTAGTTGGTGGAAACGTGGATTGGAAGCAGATAGCAAGTATTCAGGAATCCATTGGTGAAACCAGCTCCCAAAGTGTTGTTGTTGCTGTAGACAGGTATTGTATTAAATTTGCTGTTGCCACCTCAACTCTGGAGAAGTTTGACTTCTGTGTTTGGAGCAGGGCTGAATAGTTTCTAAACTACTGACATTATTCATCAGTCATTGTCAATGAGCAGGCAGTATTAGAAACACTGCTCACCTCACAATCTCCCTGCATGCTTACAGAAGTTACTCTTAAATATTAGAAATAATTGAAGTATTTCTGATTTTATTTTCAAAGCTCAGTGTTTTTCCAAAATAGCTGTTTGTTTTTTAATAAATAAAATTAGTCAGGTGGTGTCTATATGTATTTTTAAAAAAATCTTGAGTATGTGTTTAATAGATGCTTTTCAAGAAATTGTAACAATGTCTTAAACTGCACTTTACAGAATATTTACGGGATCTACAAGGTTGGATGGAAATGCTATTGGTAGGTTTTATTCCTCTCCTCCCCAGCCCCATAAACTACAAAGCAGCTTTGTCTCAAACCTTGGAAAAATACTGCATTAAAATATGTGGTCATTTAACAGTGGATTTCGTTCGCTGGCTTTGTGCTGTATCTATGGATGAGCTGCTATCTGCTACCCACCCTCGAATGTTTAGTCTGCAGAAGATAGTTGAGATTTCCTACTACAACATGGGCCGGATAAGGCTACAGTGGTCTAGAATCTGGGAAGTTATTGGAGATCATTTTAATAAGGTATCCTTGTGAGTGATTATACTACATGCTCCTTGAATTATTGATACAAATAAATTTTATTTAGAGATTTGTTGGAAAAGCATGTGCTTATTTGAATTACATTGGTTTTTATTTTCTTCTATATAAGTAGCTTAAAACACAACAAAAATTGTAAAATTGTAGAAGGGCCTGCAGGAAGGCAGAGGTACACAGTATAGTAAATGTAAAAGCAGGAGTGTATGTGAAGTTATTTATCACGACCTGGGTCTAGAACTGGCTGCCTGTAGTTATGTGTTGTAATTTTTGGGGGTGTTTTATGAAGCTTGGGATAAGAGATTGTTTTCTGTTCATGTCTAAGTTGACTGTTTATGAAGTGAATGTCTGACATGCATTTTTAGTACAGCTTGTTGAAGTATTTCTAGACAGCTTGCTTATTTTTTTAGAAAGTTTTAAATGCTAGTAGGATGTATAATGTGGAAAATAGCTGGGATTGGTTAGGCATTATTGAATTGCATTAACAATGCGGTTTATGGAATCGGCTACTGTTTAATTTTGTTATTTTTCTGGTACTGCTTTGTTCTCCATTATCAAATGTAAAAGGCAGCTTGGGGTAAATCCGTAAGAATTCTGATGCAACCTTCATACGTATTTCTATTCTACATTATCAGGTTGGCTGCAATCCCAATGAAGATGTAGCTATTTTTGCAGTAGACTCGTTAAGGCAATTATCAATGAAGTTTTTAGAAAAAGGAGAACTTGCTAATTTCCGATTCCAGAAGGACTTCCTAAGACCGTTTGAACATATCATGAAGAGAAACAGGTAATAACGTAGAATTAACTGAATCACCTGGGATCATAAGCACCAACTTTTGCAATTAATGTTTCAAATTGCTTTTGTAAAATCGGTTGCTGGAGAATTACACTATTCTAATTATGTGATTTAGTTAAACAACTATTGTTTATTATCTTAATTTAGGTCTCCTACTATCCGAGACATGGTTGTACGGTGCATTGCACAGATGGTAAATTCCCAGGCTGCTAACATTCGTTCTGGGTGGAAAAACATTTTTTCGGTATTTCATCTGGCAGCCTCAGATCAGGATGAAAGTATAGTGGAACTTGCATTCCAGACCACAGGACACATTGTCAGTGAGTATTGACGATATTTAGACGTCATGAAAGTGTATGTGACTCCAGAGACTGAGAGGCTGTGTTACCTGTTGGCTCTATAGTCTGCATAGTATAGCCCACTTCATGCTTTAGGACAAATGTTTTACACTTTTTAACAAATCCTCTGGGAAAATACTTATGAAAATAATTTGGTAAGATTCTCTGTCTACCTTTAAGCCTTTTTAAAAAATAAATTATGTGTTTGTAGCATTCTAGTCGAGCCGTGAAGAATTCCTCTTTCCCACCCCCGAAAGAAATTGTGTAATTATTTTACTATTACGTTGTTTGCTTATCTTTTTCCTGGTTTCCAAATCGACTTGTGCTTGTCTGTGGCCTTGTTTAGGAGAAAGTGCTGAGCTAGGTGTCAGTGTGGTGGGGGTGGGTTTTTTGGGTTATGTTTTTTTTTTTTTTTCTTCCCCTTCTAATCTAGATCTCAGGCTTCAAGTGCCATATTCTGTCCCAACCTCTGCAAGTTCATAAAACTTCTTCAGCATTGATGAAGAAAAGGGTTTTTTTTTCCTCAAAAATGGCAATTTAAAATCAAGGCAATAGGACCGTATTGCTGAGAGAAGTCCTTTTGTAGATGCAACTCTGTGCTTTATGTAGCCCTTGGAAGCTCTGAGCACACAGGCTAGTGTTAAGCAGTAAAGCTATTGGTTCTGTTCTTGCTTAACTGTTAAATTTCCCTTCTTTAGACTAAATTCTACCTTGATTTATTTTAGACACTTAACTTCCTGTCAAAATAGAGTGCCCTCTAGGTGCTTCTTTTTTGGTTGAGCATTCATTTTTTATTTTTTATTACTACTCAAGCATTTGACAGCACCAGTCAGTCAATGAACCAGTCTCTCGTGACTTCTGTTACAGTCAGTTCTATTAGAATTAATAGATTTTAAAGCATGACACTTCTCTTCTGTTTGCACTTTTCTCCCAGCAATTGTGTTTGAAAAACACTTCCCAGCCACCATAGATTCTTTCCAGGATGCAGTAAAGTGCTTGTCTGAATTTGCCTGCAATGCAGCGTTTCCAGATACCAGTATGGAAGCGATCCGCCTCATTCGCCACTGTGCAAAATACGTATCTGATAGACCTCAGGTATAGTCTGTATTAACTAAATGATGAGTGCTTTAATCAGTAGTGCTTTTGTAAAGAGAAGAACACTCACGCTAACCTTATTGGCTTCCCTTCAAGTTTCAGAGATTAATGAGACTTGTACTTTATTCAGAAGTGATAGGAGTATAAAATGCCACAGGCTTCAAAAGTATCAGCAATGTTGTTGTTTTGGGGGTTTTTTGTTTGTTTGTTTGTTTGTTTTCTTTTATTCCCCCCTGCCCATCCCCATCCACTCAGTTCAGCTGGAGGCTAGCTTTCCCGAGAGCTGCTGGAAGTTAACGTATCTCGGGATCTGCTCTCTATTGAGAAATGTTGTGGAGAATGGATAGTAATGCACAAGGAAAAATGTTTAATATCTCCAAAATGTTACGGTAGATCCTCGCTTTCAGTTCTGTTTCTATAGAAAGGGCGTAAGAGACTCAGACTGAACTGCAAGCAAAAACTGATGGTTGAATGTATTGTGTCACTTTTTCTTTAGTTTATTTTTCATAATATACTAAGCACTACTTTGAAAAACACTTCACCTTCTCAGTAGTATTATTTTGATAGCCAACTCCCCTGAGGTATCAGGTTGTAGTACTAGTACAGCAGAGATTGTTATTTATAGTCCAAATTGTGTTTTATTTTGAAGAATCTAACCCTTAAAACTCTGTGGTTTTTTTCTAAAGGCATTCAAGGAATACACAAGTGATGATATGAATGTAGCTCCCGAAGACAGAGTGTGGGTGCGAGGATGGTTCCCAATTCTGTTTGAGTTGTCCTGTATCATCAATAGATGCAAATTAGATGTAAGAACCAGGTAACAATCAGTATTTGTAATACAAATTTTTAAAGGCTTACTGTACACTTTTAAAATAGAAACAACTAAGTAAAGGCAACTTTTGTAAAATGACTCACATATTTAATTTAGGTGATATCACTGTGGGAACACCAGACTTTTAGAAACACCTTTTAAATAGATGCTGGAATGTAGAGGTTAAGTCTGTGTTCTTGAAATATTTTTTTTCCGTTAGAATAAATGAGGAAGTTGTATGGTTGTGATTGCATTATGTTAAATAGATAAGTATTACATTTCCTTGAAGTTAAATATTCAAATAGTATCTGTTTTGGATGAACAGCCATGAAATCACAAAGATAAGAACTATTTAAATAGTTCGTTTGAAAATAAGTTAATGCTTAAGTAAATTAAAATATAATGACTGTGTTCTGTTTATTATAGAATCCGTAAACTACTTAAAACAGCTTAGCTCAGCTTCCAGTCAGATGCAACTGAGGCAGTTTATGCATAGAACACAGTAAAATGTGGAAGTCGGCTTTTAACTTTCCTAACGTGTAACAAGCAAGCGTTCTTTTAATGCGGAGGGTCAACTCTAAATGATCAATATGCATTAAATTCCCATCCGGTATTTTTTTAAGTAAGATATTACATGAGATTAATATCCAAACCTGCATTTTTCCAGTGGCAATACTGATCCTCCCTATTCATTAGTAAATATAAATGCATTATTTTTGATGCTGTGGTATATGCCCCTGTTACTTACTCCGTTTTAGTGATTTGTCATAGTTGACTTGGGTAAGCCTCGTGTCATGTTCACGCTTCTGCTTTGCTGTGAACAAATTTAAAAGGATACGTGCAATAAGTAGGTGTTACTTTAGTGGACACCAACAGCAAAATTCTTTTTCAATCTTTTTTTGTTTTTAATTAGAACTCATGATCCCAGTCCTGCCTGCCTTCTTGCCCATCATACTTACTTTGAGGTTTTTAAAACGGGTTCTATACCATGTTTAATTAACTGGTTGAGGATTGCAGACACAATTGAAAAAGCAAAGCTGTACTCGATGATTACATGTAAAACCTGCTTATTGAATATGGCTTTTTCCTTATAAAGTGTATTTTGTTGCAATTCTGACTCTAAATATGAGAGGTTGTAATATGTGTATATATTGTAAATTTATATTTTTAATTTATCATTTTAAATTTAAACATCTACATGTGAGCTGTGCATCTGGACTCTTTATAGCTGATGAAGACTAATACTTGTTTCTAGACCTTTGTATTTCTTACTGGGAAATGCTTGTTCCTTTGTTTTTGTGGTCCTTTGTAAACAAGTTGTTTTCCTATTTTAATTTGAAATTACTGTAGTTCTCAGAAGTATTTTCTGGCTGTTGCCTGTGCCTGTGTAAGTGCTTTTTAAATGAGATGATTTTCTACTTAATTTAGTGTACTAGTGGGACCAATCCACATCAGATGAATGTGCAATGTTCTTAACAGTATTTGAGTTTGTTATTGCTGTTGCAGTTGGACATATTAGGTCTAGTGCGTGTCTTTTTGTAACTCGTAATGTATGTTGTTCTTTCTTCGTTGCAGGGGTTTAACAGTAATGTTTGAAATAATGAAGACATACGGCCATACTTATGAAAAACACTGGTGGCAAGATTTGTTTCGGATTGTCTTCAGGATATTTGACAACATGAAACTGCCAGAACAACAGACTGAGGTGAAAAAAGTGGGGGAAGACAATTTACCCAAGATCTGTATTTACAGTAGAAAACCTGATTAGTAATACAGCTTATCAAGTAACGTAAGGCAAGCCTCCGAACTTGCATGCTTGACCTGTGGTGGTAGTAGCCTTATTTTGTTTTATTAAAATTCTGTTGGAGCTATTGTCACTGTCCTCTTTTTTTTTTTCTTTTTTTTTTTTCTTTTTTTTTTTTAACCATGTGTGTAAGGGGCCTAGTAGTTTACACGATGAACAATAGAACAATAGAATCAAATGCAACATATCTAGGGTTTGTAAGAAGAACTGCAGCTTTTACACATGATGTCTGGCATCTGAGACACACGTCAGTTCATGGCAGCATGCTCAATGGAATGAGGCTTGTAATCGGCAGTGAAGTCACAATTAGAAGAAATAAGTTTTGCTTGTTCAAAACTTTTCGATAACTAGGGAAAAACAAACCAACAAAAAAACCCAAAAAGCAGCACTGTGCCTTCACTGCACCGTTTTGACCAGCCACACAGGTTTTGACCTGCCAAACCAGGACCAGGTACTGTCTTGACAAGGTAGTGAAACAGAGATGGGCTTACTGATGTAAAGTATGCATAAATTACTAGAAGTTTTGATCAAAATTGTCCACTGTTCGGGAGGCTTTGTCTGGCTAGTAGAAGGATATGTCTCACTTCCTAAATTTTTATTCCCTGGAAAATATTTAGAAGAAATGCAGAAAACTTAGCTTGGTGCTAAACTGTGCAGCTAAGGTTAGCCACTGAGGTTAATGTCAAACTCAGTGTCTCATGATGGTAAGAGCTTGTCAGTCCTATAGTCTTGTCTCCAAGAATAGTTGTTTTTCTGTTTCTGTAGTTTTTTTAAACCTGCTAGTTAGCAAAGCAAAAGCTGGGGCTCCAAGTTTTTGGGCTTTTGAGGCATAGAAAGGAGTTGCATGTCACTATAAAACAATTCAAATTGACAAAGTACATATATCCATCTGCCTACAGGGATGTGTATCCTAAATGTTTCAGCTTAAATAAAGTCATAACCTTTTTTTTTCCCCTCCTAGAAAGCTGAATGGATGACAACTACTTGCAACCATGCACTTTACGCAATATGTGATGTATTCACACAGTATTTAGAAGTACTTAGTGATGTTCTTTTGGATGATATATTTGCACAGCTGTACTGGTGTGTGCAGCAAGGTAGGACTGTACCAAATTGTGTTAAACAATGTTAACATTTTACTGTGGTGAATGTGAATAAACAAACGCACGGTTTGTCTTTTCCAGACAATGAACAACTGGCACGATCTGGTACAAACTGTTTGGAGAATGTTGTCATCCTAAACGGTGAAAAGTTTACCCTAGAAATCTGGGATAAAACTTGTACTTGCATGCTGGATATTTTCAAAACTACAATCCCTCATGCGTAAGATGACTTAATATTTACACTTTGTAAAATAGTTTAGCTAGATGACTTACTGGTTTTGAACTGTTAGATATCTAATAGGTGGGGTGAACAAAAAGCTGTTAGATGTGGACTAAGTGGAAGCAGACTTTCTTGGAACATAATGATAAATTAGGTGCTAGATAGCCTACTTTTGTGTTGTAAATGATGAACTGTTAAAAACTAGAAATACCATATGGGAGATAAACAAACAAACAAACAAAAAATCAAAACCCACAAACCAACCCAAAACTGTAACCTGATTCATTTTTAAATTGTTGGACTTTTTGAGAAGTACTGTCTGAATTTTTGGTCATTTTCTTTTTGTAACAGAAGAATGCTGTTGATAGTCAGACTTGTAATTACATGTGAAGCTTTTTCCACAAAATACTGCAACGGTCTTACAGGTTTAAGTCTCTGTGGTTGACGGTTAACTTCCATCCTATGTTTCTATGAATCCTAATATTTTTATGAAAATTATCTTGTATATTTGGTAACTATCTTTCCCTTTGAGTTGTAACTCTATGTGAGGTTTCTTGGAACAAGGCCTGCTCACTAGCAAGACAGGGGAAGTCCTTGATTTCCTAGCAACAGCTGAAAACATCAGTAAATTATCAGCATTGTTCTCTTACCAAATCCCACGCTGAATCCAAAACACAACACTATTCTAGCTACTAAGAAGTGAGCCACTAAGCAGGGAAAAGAAAATTAGCTCTATCCCAGCCAAAACTAGGACAATCATAGAGCAGAATAACAAGAAATCACGTCCAGCATTATACCAAAGATGAAGGAGTTTTTTCCCATACCCTACCGACACTGTGGTTCCTTGCACGAATTACGATGATCTGGCCTCTACTGACTCATAATGGCTCGTTATTCCAGTACCTCCTTTGGCACATGGAAGCTTAAGATTTATAGCCCAAAATAAATTACGCTGTATTTAACAGCCTCTAATAATCTGCAATTTGTGTCCTGGTAGCTTTCAAGAATTCAGTTCTCTGCTCTATGTGTTGTCTTATTGCATGCCTCAAGATTTTATCTTTTCTTATCTTTGATTTGTCTTTTTAGTTACATGATCTTTAGTTATAAGGAGATCAGTGATAGGTTAATTTAGGATCCTTGACACAATGGGAAGCACAAAGTCTCACTTAGAATATGCAAACACGTATGTCCATCAAGCATTGCCTCACATAGATTGAGGCCAAATAGTTTGAGACCTTAACAATGACAAATAACTTTACTCTTAACTTTGTAGCAATAGATTTGATAGAACAAGAGATGATGGGCTCGCTTAAGTTATTTAATCCAATTTTCCTCAATTCTTGGCCGGCACAGACAGCCTCAATAAGTTACAATTAATGTAGAAATTTTTTAGGGCTTAAGGCGAAGATCTGCAAGACAGGAACATGCTATAGGAAGACAGCAGGGAAGAGATGAGAAGTATTATCAGTAACTTGGTACCTCATAACTGCAATGAGTCCTAAGTGAAAGTGTTGAATTCTGAGCAGAAATAGAACGACAATGCTGGAACGTAGCCTAAACAGAGAATGCGAAACACCTCCAGGCATTCATGCTGGTTTGTCCTGGGGTAGATTCATTCCTTACTCCAGGTAAAGGTTAAGGCAGAGTGAGAGAACAAGGCACTGTAGCACTGCCTAAAGACAAATCCAGTATTTCTGATTAAATTTAATCCACCTCCACATAATCCAGTTGTCTATCCAAGGCAATGGGCAGAAACACTGAAGTTCAAAAAACACAATACTGAAAATTTTTTGGTATCTGTGAAAGAATAAAATATACTTAAAAGTGAAATTAATTTGTTGGTTGATAGAAGTATCTATATCTGACTCTTTCCATTTTTTGCATCCATTAATTTATATTAAAACAAGCAAAACCCCACCATATTGAAGTGGACATTTAGAATATTGGTTCTGATTTGTATTTCAAACTGCTTAAATTTGGTACTGGTTTTGTCTTTTCAAGGCTGCTGACTTGGCGACCAGTCAGTGGGGAGTTTGGCTCTGGACCTCCCTCTGATGCAAAAGAAAAACTGGTAAGCCACTGAAATAAATGTTTTGAAAGCTTGCAAGAGTTTGGTGCATCTGTGTCGTGATGTAGAATAAGTTAAATGTATACTTAGTTTAAACCCATTTGTCGATTCTTATTTACTTGAAAAGTTTTTTCCAGAAAGAGTACTACTTAATGCTTAAAAATGGCAAGGAATTAATTGAGAAGTAGAAGTATGTATTTGTTTACAGCAAAGCTGACTTCCAGAGGTTGTCTGTAAGTCATTCTCTGTGTCTGTTTTAGGTAATGTCCTGTGTCTGGTAGGTCTCTGTAACACTGTATTTAGGGTTTGAGTTGTTTCCTGATTTGGGATGTGGGTTTTGTTTCATTTTGCTTAATATTTTCTTTGATATATTGGCATGATGAGAAAATGCTGGAGGTGGAAAGATTGCCAGTTAGGATTGACTCTTTTTTTTCCCTTCAAATCTTCTCTCTGGTAATAACTTAAATGTCAGTGTTTAAAATAGAAAATAGATCCAACCATCACTGATTGAATAAACTGATGTAAAATTTGGATTTTCCTACAAGTGGCAGCCCTGTAGCTACTTTACTACTGATGAGAATTAGTTTAGCCTTTGGACATTCTCACAAGATTGCTGCATGAAGTGCTTTATAGACTTACGAAGCATTTGATAAAAATTGTTCAAGTATCTGGTCCCAAATGTGCTCTACTAAAAGAGACCGATTCCCTCCATTTATCTTTATGGAGTGTCAACGGAATTTGCTTACAACAGAGTGTAAATGTTTGTGATGGCCAGTCCTCATTATATTTCACATACGTGTGACTGGATGTGTAAAATGTTTGATGTATAAAATGTTTGATCTAAATATTGGCTATGCTTTTGATCCATTTATGTCAAATATAATAACATGCAAAAATGGCAAATATATTACATGTCTTATTCATGAATAAATTGAAAGATGTCTTCTCTTTCAAATAGTTCTAACATAAATGTTTTCAAAAATCTTGTCTCCGCTGTAAAAAGACACTTCACAGCTTCAAAATTAACACAACATGTATAATAAATAGGAGATAGATTTTGGATCCTTTCTTTGGGTAGGATATAATTTTTACAGGCTTTAGATATTTCCATCTAATTTTTCTTCATGTAGTTCAAATACAACGAAGCGTTGTACTATCTCTAGACATATCACCTATTACAAGTGTATTTATACTTAAAGAGATTAAAACCTTGGTTATTTGCTGACATGAGAAGTTGATATGTTCTTTATAGGAACTGTATGTATAGATTTAAATCTTGCTAACACCACAGTGCAGGGAATCAATGTGTAGTCTCCAGTGGCTCTTACAGAACAAACGCCAGCAGACATGCTGGGTTATTGAATAGGACAGTAATCGCTATATATAACTGCTTTGCAGTTGATGATAACATGTTTGTTATTAATTACGTTAATTGCATTTCCTTCTTTCAATTAATGCTTTCTGAAGTGAAAACAATAGGTATTTTTATCAATGGCAATTTTAATACTTTACATTCAACTGCTCAAGAAGGAAGATATTTCTTAGAAAATAAAATGAAACATAAACCAAACAATTCATCTTCCCAAGTCATTGAGTCCTAGCTCACAGGATAGCACAATACAACATGGAGAATCAGAACACACTGCAGAAGTCTGCTGAAGCATCTCTCTGGCAAAAGGATTGTAAACTAGAGCATATATTCTCCACCTTCATTGTTTTACTGTCTTAAATTCCTGTAGCACCTACAAATGTGTTAGTAGGAGCTTATAATTCAGATCATTCAAGGGAGTAAAGGCAAGTAAAGATTAAAGTTTGATGACACCTCGTGTTCTTTGGACTTGATATTGAAAAGCTGTGTGTTTGCTTTTTCACCCGTTAGAAAAGGAATGCAATTCTCACAGAAGCTGTTAGAGGTTTTTATTGTAGATCAAGGTAGATACTGCATTTCTTGGTATCGGAACCTTGCAGCAAACCTCATACGCTTAATCTGGTAAAAGCCAAACTAGCTGTTGGCTGACACACTACATGTTTGGATGGTGTACAAAAACCCATCAAAATACTACTCGTGGACTTTGCTGTGTAATTAAGTATTTGTTAAATTTTCAATTCTATCTTAGTACATCATCTTTTTAGTACATCTTTCGTGAATGCTAATACCAAATATGACTAAAGTGAATTAAGAAGTGCAGTGTTGAAACAGCAAACATCTTAAGCTATGAAGAGCACAGCATATTGACAATTAGCTCACAGAAGTTTTCTCTAAGTTAATTTTTTGGGGGGGGCTTTCTTTTCAGGATACAGTCTCACAGAAGTCAGTAGATATTCATGATTCAATTCAGCCTAGATCTTCAGATGGACGTCCGTACCAACCCTGCGCGGGGTCCACAGTAGGTGAAGAAATGAGTAAACCCAGGCCAACAGCAAGTGCGTGTTTTTAGTGTTTCGGCATTTTATATCTGTTAAGAGTAGTATTTAGCAGATGTTTGGTAACTTCAGTGGTAGCCCCAGCTGTAACTTTAGAAACATGATGTGAAGAAAATTACATTTTTGTCTTCATATAGTATGACAGAATTCTGTTGGGACTCTTGTAGCTCCGTATTTTTGACCTGTGCTTTAAAAATCTAGGACACAGCTGCTAACTTGCAGTCATTTTACCCAAAGCAAAATCCTGACAATAGTACTCTCCTTATAATGCAATGTAAATGAGTGATTTTTTTTTTTTTTCTAAAGAGCAAATTTCATTCTGTGCAGAATGCAACAGAAGCAATAGCTGAAAAAAAAAAAAAAAGTGTATTTAGACTGATTTGAAGAGAGTATATCAAACCCTTAAGGTATTTGTGCAGAGTTACGTGTTGGTGCTTAAAATGCTCATGTCTAGTTTTATTAGTACTTGCCACAAGTATAAGCAGTGCTGTCAGTGCTGCCCTCAGACTCCCCTGCTTGTGGACAGCCTCAGCCTCTGGTTCTTGCCGTTGCACTGATGCTAACAACAAGGCTGCTAATTTTTGTGATTTTTGGGTAACATTGAGTATCTGTCCAATATATGCCAGGCGACTTTAAAGTTAGGAAACAGTTTTTTAAAACCTGCCAGTTGTTAACATGGCGATCAGTTATGGTTTTAGAAGAGTAATTCAGATGGGTGGATTCCGAGTTTGGTTTATCAATGTGCTTGAAGTTAAGCTGTTCTTCCACTTATCCCCCAAAATAGCTCAAAAAGAAAAAAAGTATTGCCGTTCTTTAGTTAACCGTCAATTTTCTTTTTCTTTCCTTTGAAGAATTTCCAGAACAGAAGTTATTTGCTGCTCTTTTGATCAAATGCGTTGTACAACTGGAACTCATTCAGACTATCGACAATATTGTCTTCTTCCCAGCAACTAGCAAAAAAGAGGATGCAGAGAATCTAGCAGCAGCACAGGTAAGTAGAACTGAAGGATATCTCTCTCTTTTTCTGCAGCAGATAAAGTTTCATGAACTTCTGTAACATCTTCTCATTTACAATTTTTAGAAGCACTTGAGAACTTGCAGCAGACTGTTGAGGTCTTTTACATCTTGCATTAAATTGTCTTTGCTGTCCTGGGTCAGCACACAATAGGGATTAAAACGTGTTGTTCAAAGGGATTTATGTAACTGGGGTGTGGGTACAGCTTTTAGCACAGTTTTAAGTTTAAATACAAGTACAGATGAAAACAGGGTAGGATTGAGTTATCACAGGAGCTTGCTGAAGACACTGTGAATTTTTACTTGAAAATTTTTATTTTTTTTTTTTAATAGAGAGATGCAGTAGACTTTGATGTCCACGTGGATACACAAGATCAAGGGATGTATCGTTTTCTAACCTCACAGCAGCTTTTCAAACTTCTCGATTGTCTGCTGGAATCTCACAGATTCGCTAAAGCATTTAATTCAAACAATGAGCAAAGAACTGCACTCTGGAAAGCAGGTGAGTCAGTCACCTTGGAGAAATACTTTGTGAGAATGGGTTGCTGTGCTTTGAATTGACCCAAAAAGGTCAAAAGTACTTTGATGCTGAATGTAAAATAGGCTATCAGGCTGTAACTTTATAACCCTAGAATCCCTAAGGGGAGCAGACCTCATCTGTGCAGACACAAATATCTTTTTGTAAAATTCAAAGTTTCACTGGGTTGTGGCTGCCGAGCTGATCCCTGGTGTAGGTGTGAGTCTGTCGTGGTTTGAGCCCACCCAGCCAGCAACAAAGCCCCACGAAGCCGCTCACTCATCCCCTGAGGGGTAAGGAAGAGAAGGTACAACCAAAAGGGCTTGAGGATCGAGACACAGGACAGGGAGGGCTCACTCACCAGTTATGGTCACGGGCAAAAGACAGACTCAACTTGGGGATAACAACACACATTTAATGACCAACCGCCACCATCAAGGATAATGAGAAATACAACCAGGTCTTAAAAACACACCTTTTTCCTTCCCCTCTGGTCTCCCCGGGCTCAGCTCTGCT